GGGGGTGGCAACCCCCCATGTGCGTTCTAGGATGGGAAGATGGCATGTGCGGGCGAGGGTTAATCCCAGGGGCTTTCTCTGGCTAGTATGAATAGATCAGCCTCTCAGATAATTAATTTCAGGGTCTTCTCTTGGCTAGTATGCATATGAATGGCTCTGATATCCTGAATTTCAGGGGCCTCCTCTACCTATTACGAACAGTAGGACCTCTCCAACCACCAGTCTCAGGTGCCTCCTCTGGCTAGTATAAATAGAAGGGCCTGTTAGACTATCAATCCCAGGGGCCTCCTCTGGTGAGTATAAACAGGAGAGCCTCTGAGACCAATAATCTCAGGGGGCTCCTGTGGTCAGTATAAATAAAAGGGCCCCTCAGACCATCAGTCTCGGGGGCCTCCCTAGAACAATGTGGAGAGGGGCCTCCCCAGATTCACTAGGACCTCTCTGACCATCAGTCTCAGAGGCCTCTTCTGACTATTGAGGATAGAGGGACCTTCTCTGACTAGTGAGGGTAAATGGCCTCCCAGACCGCCAGTGTCAGGGGCCTATTCTGACTAATGTAAATTGAGAGGCCTCCCAGACCACCAGTCTCAGGGACATCCTCTGACTAGTGTGGATAGACGGGCCTCTCAGACCGCCAGTGTCAGGGGCCTTTCCAGACCAGTTTGGATATTGGGGCCTCCGGCCTCCTCAGATCCACTAGCGCCTCTCAGGCCATCAGTCTCAGGAGCCTCCGCTGACGAGTATGGATAGAGGGCCTCCTTGGATCGACAAGGGTCCCTTGGAGTCCGTGCGTGGAGATACGTGGAACTTATTTTTACTGAGTTTGTTTATTCTGAAAGGTTACAACGTCCTCTCAACTCGAGACGAGAGGGTCCCGAGTAAAAAGTGTATGGGAGCGGGGGGCGGCAAAACATATGATTGCCCCCAGGGCCCCCTGGTTGGCCGCCGGGCCTGCGGGCTCGACCTTGACATCTCTAAACAGGACCTCGGGGAAGGGCAGGACACAGAGTCTGAGCCTTAAGGACAGGGCAGACACTGGCCATGAGGCTAAGATAAGACACATTAGGCACGTGAGGACTGGGTAGGTTGCAGGGTCCGAGGGCAAGGCAAGGCGCGGGTCTGAGGCTGTCATTACACAAGGCTGGAGAGCAGTGCCAGATTCAGGGCCTTAGAACACCTGATGAACACCACACCTGATGGCAGGGCAACACACACACACACACACAGGATCTTAGAGCAGGGCGAGAAACAGTACCTAAGGGCAGAGCAAGATATAAGGACACAGGTAGGGCACAAGGCCTGAATGTATGACAAGACAGGGTATAGGGCCTGAGGGCAAGACAAGGCTCAGGGCATGAGGGCAGAACAAAGCACAGGTTGTGAGGACAGGTAAGGGCATGAGGACGGGAAACGGCACGGGACCTGAGGACGGGGGACACCACAAGGCCTGATAGCAGGGCAGGGCACAGCGCCTAAGAGCAGTGGGACACGAGACCTTAGGGAAATGCAGTGTGCAAGGCTTGAGGGCAGAGTAGGACACAGGGCTGATGGCATGGGACAGCACAAGGCCTGATGACAGGGCAGAGCACAGCAGCTTAGTGCGAGGGTGGGGTCTGAGGGCAAGACAATGCACAAGGCTTAATGGCAGAATAGGACAGGGTCTGAGGGCAGGGCATGCACATGGGGCCTGGTAGCAAAACATGACGGGACAGGGCCTGAGGCAGGGCAAGGCATCAGGCTTGAGGAAGGACGCTGGGCCGGGGCATGAGGGCATGGGAAGGCACAAGACCTGATGGCAGGACAGGGCACAGCACCTGACGGCAAGGCAGGGCACGGGGTCTGATGGCAGGACAAGTGTACAAGGCTTGAGGGCAGAGAAGGGCACAGGGCCTCAAACTAGGGTAGGGCACGGGCGTAAAGATGGGAAGACAGCGCATACAACTTCAAGGCAGAGTACATACTCGTAAGGTATCGGATTTGAGGGCAGGACAGGGCGGGGCACAGGGCCTGAAGGAAGGGCAGGGCAAGGTACAAGACGTAAGGACAGGACACTGGGCAGGGCACATACCCTAGGGGTATAGTAGGGGAGGATATAACAAGGTGTACGTCTTCAGGATAGGGCAAGGCACAAGGAATGGAGAGGGCATGTTTGTGCTTAGGTACATAGTAAATCAGGGCACAAAGCAATCGAAAAGCAACATCTGTTACACAGTAAAAGACCGAGGCATGTTACTTATTTTTGCTAGCACTTTTCCGCTGACACCCTGTCATTCCAGTGTGGGACGCAGTGGTTCAAATTTCGCGAGGGCTTCGTCCCAAAGGCAGGGGGCTGCGTCCCCAAATGGGACGCAGTCAGTTTGTTAAAATATACCCTGAGTGTTTGAGAGAAATTGAACGTCGCGCTTATTGGGAGGTCGGATAGACCCACCCATGACACTCAGTTAAGAAAAAACTCGTAAAAGGTGGCCGATCGCGGCGAAACTTTTCGCATTCACGAGCTAATCAAAATTACACACATCATGACAATTATATGACCCCGAACCCCATGACCCTTGACCTATGGCGTGTTTCTAGAGACCATGGCATGGCAGAATCGCGATTCTGCGTGTTACCGCACATTATCGACGCGTTTTCAGACTATTTGTGTCTTTAAAAAAACGCGCCAACTTGTGGGATGATTGTAATACCATGCCTTATGGTAGGTGTAAGGGTCGCATTAGGGTCAGGTGGTCAAGGTTACTGAGCTTAGATGACCTTGCTTCACCTTTTCAAGTTTCAACATATATTAGTGTCCTTTTTGCAGATGTCGAATTTAGGATCCATTTTCAGGAGAGGGTTTGGTGCCAAAAAAATATGTTACGAAGCTTCCCATGTTACGAAGCTCCCTTTCAGTGGTGATTGACACCTACTTTGGCTACCTGGCATGACACCTAGGCTAGCTACTGGACACTGGTTGACCTGAGCTTACCTGACCAGACCTACCCCAGGCCCCAAATGCTGAAAGGGGATTCAGGTTCAGCGCAAAATTTTGAGCAAGATAGCACCCTCGCCCGCACATGCCATTTTCCCATCCTAGAACGCACATGGGGGGGTTGCCACCCCCCCCCCGCGCCATTTCGTTCCTGTTGGAGATAGAGCTTAGCGGTAAAGACCAAAAAGATTCTTTGGGAAGAGACGAATCCAATGATACCCAGTTTTAACTTCTCAGGTCAGTCATTGACCTTCCAGGTCAGGTCAAACTAAAAAATGTTGCTGTTTTGGGTCACCGTTGGATATCAAGTGCGCTGCTTATCATATACCGATGACGATGCTGTTTTCTGGTGCCAAGCCAGCTAGAACCTCCTTGTCACACTACCCGACCAGATTTTTGCTGCTGAAGTCATTTCAGGTCAAGTTAGGTCAAGGTCAATTATATGTGTTTGTGTGTCTGTGTGTATTCTGATGTGTGCACCGATTTTTTTTTGTGTCCATATTACATGAAATCATGATCTGAGAAGCTTTTACCAAAAATGCAGTCAAAAAAACTTCACAAAAAGTAAATTCAGCTTGCCTAAAACGCAATTATCTTAGATGACCTAGGTTGACCTTGACCCTGACCTTGACACCTGTACATCGTCGAACAACATGTTCCATGATAGGTGGGAGGTAAGACTGGCAAAAAAGCCGAAATCAAGGTGTCAAAAGCTCACAAGGCCCATAGCCAACGCAAGATGTTGAGAATTGTCCATTTGGGTCATGACATGACCTGAAAAACAAGGTCATATCTCCGAAACCAAAAATCACAGATCCTTGAAATTTTCAGTGGACATCAAGAACGGATAGAGGAGCAGCTATACGAAAAATCAGCCTTCTAGCTCTAAAAAGGTTGAGTGCAGAGCAGAAAGACTACCTGGGGGGGGGGGGGTGGCAACCCCCCCCCCCATGTGCGGGCGAGGGTTAAAATTGGGAGGTTTGTATTTCCTTTGTATTTCATTTTTGTAACCACCTGGTCGGGCAATGTGAAAGGGTTACAAATAAATATCGAAGCATGGATAAGATAGGCTACTATTTTTATTTTTCTTAGTTAAGAAAAGATCATTGTGTCAGGGCTATGACTAAAAATAAGTGGCCTAAATCCGATGAGAAAACAGGATTTGAGGGAACCCTAGGTTTGGCTCCTTGAGCCTCTGCCCCCCCCCCCCGTGAAAATCCCTTACAGGAGGCCCTGTAGCCCCCGGCCCCCCCACCTCAAAAAGTAGGTGGGCACTTGCCCACCTGGCCCCTCTTGTTCCTACGCCTATGCAATTTTGTTAATAGCCAAACTATCAAAAACAAAACACAAACTAATGTGTGTGGAATCAATAGTTTGATTTTGACACCAGATTGCCTCCATAAAAAATCAATTTCCTGATTGCCTTTTAGCATGCTTTGCATAAAAAAACAGTCATTATTTTGGCTGTATTTTTTGTGTGTGTGGTTAGCTTCATCATTTTTCTTTGCCACCTGCTAGCAGCACTGCCAATCAGTGTTTTACAAGAAGCATGCCAATTGGGGAAACTATGAAGCAGAAATAAAAACATTGATCGATCCATAAATGGATCTTGTACCTATGACCATATATGGGCATAAATGCAGCCCCCGCTATGACGGGGGCTGCATTTATGCCCTATGACGGGGTGCATTCAGTGTAACGGGACAATACTTGCGGTATTGAGTACACCCACTGAAGAGAAAAAGCTTCCATTTACCAAAGGAATGATAGTTAACGAGTAATACTTGACGAAAGTACGCACATTCACCCGAAAATGACGATATTTTTTGCAGGTTCTGGGCGTCCACTTTGCCAGACAATCAGCTGGCCATTCCATAAATGGATCGGCACTATGAAAAACTTTAGAAATTTATTTTTAAAACAATAAATACAAAATAGTAACTATTGAATAATAATTAATTTTGCTATAATTGACAATATTGTAAACAAATTAATACAAATAACTATTTACCATCTCTTAATTACTCACTTTTTCTGGCACGCTTCTTTCGATCAGCAATTGCAGTCAAACGTCGGTTGGCCTTGAGTCACAACTTACTTCAATAGGACCGCCAGTTAATTGTGCGCTGAGTGAGTACAGGCCTTGTGTGAATCACAACTTGCTAATGTCTTATTTTTCACTTGAAAGCTAGGATGCACAAAATCACGTCCATTTTTTCGTTACATGGTCATGGCCCTGCCCACTCCAACCTTTCATTGGTCAATCAATATTTGGATTTGAGCCTCGTCCTTTACCCAACTGATGCACAACCTAACAGAACGGCTTCCAACAAAGTATGGTTAGTTTTACAATTGTAAGGATGCCCTGCTCCATCAATTCAAAATGAAAAGTGATGTAACCATTAACAACACATGAGCCTAGTATCCACCATCTTCACACAACTATATAGCCGCCAAGATAAAGCAAAAAGGGATACCGGTATGGACTCTAGTCATGTCATGGCAGGCACAAGCTACCTACAGGCAATTTTTGCAAGAAGGTAGGTGTTAAAACAAAACAAAACAAGGAGACAAGTGACAACAATATGGGTGGGTGGAGTTCTTCTGGCTGTTTACTTAACCTGATCTATCATATATTAGGGAGAACAATATTTAGCTTACCTGTTGTAGGCACACAACGACCACCATCCTTGAAACTGCACGTGCAACAACAATAATGCTCAAGATATTCCGGCGTGCAAACAGCTGCGCCGAAATTGTATCTCAGTCGTGCTTCCAAATCGACGTAGCACATCGCTGCCAGATCTTTTACTGGACGAGGAAGGCCTTTGAGTACGAAGCAAACTCTGGTGGATAAAATATGAACTAGCAGAATCGTTTAATTGGCCAGGTTAGGGTAAATCTGGTTTAGGCTAACATGCTCCAAAGTTAGTATAAACTCGGATCTGGGCTGTTCCTATCAAAATACACTAGTTTTAATTTATGCTATCCAAAAAGTTAGGGTAAATTAAAATAAATTGAAAATCGGGTTTAGGCTAACGAAAAGTTAGCCTAAACCCGTTTCACAAAAGCGCAGTTAACACTGTCCCTTCGGTCCCGGACGGCGGCCATGGCTCCAGCTTCCAGCTCAGGCCAGAGGTCATCCCAGATAGGCATCGCCCGCATCCACACGGCACGCAGACGAATCCGTTTATCATTTCATTTGCATCTCATCGGCTGGACGGAGAGACGGAGAAAATGGCCGCTCTCGGCTGCTGAGACAAAGGCGGCGTGGTGTGACGGCTGAAGACGCCACGTCACCGGCGTTCGAGAGAACGAGCCACATTCGTTAACGTAGAGACACGAGACCTGTGGCTTGCTCACATAAATGATTATCTATCAGTCATCGGTGGTTAACTAGTCGCAAAACTCGAAAGATGAAAAGGGGCGATGTCATGCCCACTGTCATCAACGGATTAGTGCTCTCCATGACTACGTTTCCATGGGCAAAGGGATTCGTATCCGGATCAGTGAAGCCGCTACTGATCCGGATGACTGGGGCCGTTTCCATGGGCAAAGCCGGTACTGATCCGGATCAGTGAAATAAGAGCTCAGCCGCTACTGATCGGCTTAGGAGAGACGAGTTTGGCGCACTTTGGCAATTGATAAAAAGTCCAGCTACCATTTTTGCCTGGTATTGTGCAAAAATCGACAAGGATCTTACGTCCTGAAGATTGGCTTTCTTTTATCATACCGATAGCAAACTCGGCTATTGGGAAAATCTTCCAAACTTTCTACAATAACTCATTTTTCAGTTCGATTCATGTTAAAAAATAATAATAAACAAATAAACTTACATAGTAATTCGTTCGTCTTTTATTACTTCAGAAAACGTTTCGGGCGACCCCGAGTTTCGAACCCGAGACCTTTGGCTCACAAAGCGAAAATCATACCGCTGCGCCACCGCGGCAATTGGCCCCCTGCGTCCTAAATTTATATGTAACAATAGTTGACAGGCAAATGATGCAACATCGAGAAAGTTTGCATTTGTGCTGTAAGGGATTACACTGGCAATGAAAAAATGCTGGAAAGATTGCAAAATTGATTTGCCATTTAACACCAACAAATAGATTTAGAATATCGGCACAATGGATCGTAGCAAGATAACTGATGGGTGGATGCTGTTGCGCAACGGAATGCTTGACTCCGTGCAGGAGGAATGCACAAACAAATATCTCCAATGGTTTAAATCTTTAATAATAAAGCCCAAATTTTGTAACATATCATTCTAATAATAGTATAATTTAAATAAAATATTTCCTAATGTGATATATGCATCCAGGCCCATTAAGACAATTAAAATCAAAATAAGAAAATTAAAAAGTCAAACATTAATCCCTATCGTAACGGCTCAGCTTCTTTCGAAGCTGGATTAGAATCCGGATCAGCGGTAAGGGATTACGGGTGTTTCCATGGGCAGCCTAAGCCCTTACGAGGCACTGATCCGGATCAGTGATGCCCATGGAAACGGGGTCCATCATTCGATACTGTATTCCGTCTATGGCAGCGCTCCAAAGCAGGCCATGCATCGCATTCAGAAGGTTATGAATTTCTGTGCCCGAGTTTTATCTGGACGCAGAAAACACGATCACATCAGTGACGTGCTCTCACAGTTAGGCTGGCTTTCCGCTCACAACCTATGTATGTACCGCTGTATCTGCTTGCTGCGTCAAGCAATGGTCATCGGCGAGCCAGCCACAATCGCCCAGTCGATCACGACCACCAGCCAGGTCCACGACAGGAGCACACGTGCCAGTTATCAGCAACAGTTGCGACCGCCGGTGATCAGAACAGAAACTGGCCGGCGGCAGTTTATGTACAGGACTGTCTCCGCGTACAATGCGCTGCCCCAGTCTGTTCGTGGGGGGTCCAAAAGACGGCTGAAAGAACACTTGGTACAATCACAGGGATGATAGATCGACCGAATGTTTGATTGAACATCATGTGTGTCGATGGAGTGCATAGTTATTGTGATGTGATTTTGTTCCCACTCATCCATGTTAACATTTTATATCTGTACTTGTTCTCATAAAAAGTCACACTAGTGGATGAGACGCGATGTCAATACAATACAATACAATACAAGGTAACTTTTACGTCGTTGGACAAAGTTCTGGCATGCAAGTTGGATATAGGGACGTAATTTCATTGCTATCTTCATTGTTCCTTCAGCCAAGCTTCATTACTCCAGTATTTAAACCTCTTCTCCACTCTGGTTCATTGGTTGAGTGCTGCTCTTCATATTCTGTGAAAGCTAATTTTGCAATTCAATCTAAAAAGGATGCATATCCAGTTCACCTATGTATTCGTGTATCTCCTAAAATTCGACATTATGATGATGTGTAAGCTGGAGCATTTCATGTCTGCACGATATTCATTTCTCGGAAACCTGATGCAAACAACTAACTAATCAACTGCGACATTTTTTATTGCATCAGTGACCCATAGTCCACTGCGGCTGAATCACCTCCGTCGGTCGGGAATTACGAGCCGCAGGGTCCGGCTGGGCCACCGGGGGTGTTGGTTTGTGTCGCACTGTGTCGGTTTGTGTCGGCGTGAGTCGGTCCGAGTGCCGTCACCTGTCGTCACAGGTCGGGACGCTGCCGACATTTGTCACCTCCGTTGCGCGCCCGCCCGCGGCGCGCCCGGCGGCACTTTTGACGACCGCCGGTTGTTTAATAAATTCGCCGCGTCGTTAGTTACGTCCTTGGCGTCGGCGTCGACGCGTCGGTGACACGATTTGGAGCAGACTCTCTGTGTGACGGCGCCGCCACACGGCCGCAGCAATCACAAACGACGTCCGCCTCCGCCCCTCCCGGACGGACGGCGAGCCCAGCCAATGGCTGTGATAACTATCGATAAATATCGACATGGCGCCGGATCAAACCACGCCGAGAGTTTCGCCGCCTCTACCGATACCGATAGCCATCGATAAATACGGTAGGATATTCGATAAGCCGTACTCTGCGATTCCATACCGGCAGACGCACCTTGAACTCTATGCGACTTACCCACCACTACCGATAATTATGTGACTGGCAGTCCGATTTTTCATGTGTCACTGATTTATCCAGCGCTGCTGATTAGGGAATGGGTCTGAGAGGGCGCAGTTCGTAACCTTCGTTCATCAAACGAGCGCTGGGCCAATGGATGGCGACGATTGAAATGCGGCGTCGATGGCGAAAAGCAGCGGGAGACAGAGGAATGAGCGACGAACGCAGGGTGGAGGAACGACGTCTGACTAGGAGTGCATGGGGTAACCGAGAAAAACTGCAAATGAACTGCGAGATGCTACCATTGGAATGAAAATTTGGTGTGCATTGAAATAATCCTTGGGATCACAAGTGCACAAAAGAATGAAAGGAATCACAAATAATCAATACTAGACACATATTTAATATCTATAGCGCATGGAGGCTCTATTGGATTAGTTAAACACGTTTTTCGATACCAATGCGTGGGAACACTGTACTTACTGATGAATTGCAAATAAGAATTCCAACAAATGCCCTTGGGCTGGAGTATTTCTATCCTACGTGAAAATAATTCACCTGTCGGCTTCAAAAGCACCGTGACTCGAAAAAAGGGTGATCACTTCAAACAACTGCACATTGGCAAACTTCCACGGCAGCATTGTCATCCATGATGAGCTGACGTTATTCGCCGCATACATATCGGATAGCGGCTGTAAATCAGACTCTTCCAGTCGCCCCGGTAGCCTAACTTTATTAATAAGCCGCGCTCCGGCACAGGAGGGGTCGGCGCCGGCATCCGGCCCCAGTTGGTCGTCATCAGCGGGCCCCGGGTGTCCTGACGTGTGCCGAGACAGCCCGTGCCAGCGCCCACCTGAGTCTGCCCTGACACCCGGGCAACAACGTTATTAACCCGGCGCCGCCGCCTCTGCAATGTAGTGCAGCCTGCGCCCCCGGAGCGCGCGGCCTGTCCCAGTGGGGACACGGCAGGGGCGCACAGCACGGCGACAAGTTGTGACGCATGGCTGTGACATTTGTGGCGCACCTGTGCGGCGGCGGCGCGCCGCGGCGTCTTTGGACGCCAGTTGGTGCACCCCGCCGCTTTGCAGCGCACAATATCGCCGTTCAGCAGGTGATATGAAGGGTGAGGAATTTATTGTCGGCCGGCTCTGTGGGGGCACAATGCCAGAAGGAATCGTTCGGACAAACTGTGCGCCAGAGGCATAATTTGCCGCATTCAGCGCAACTTTTGATTGCAGTAATTAGGGGCTGCATGTGAAAGCGACGCACCGACCAAGCGTTCCATTACGCGCCGCAGCGAACCGTCTGAACGAAACAGATGCGCCAATAGACGCACCGAAGTCAGTCGTGGGAACGTTTCCCCTGCGCTAACAATGCCGCAGAATGGAAGGAACTAGCGCGAGAGCAACGGAAGCAGAAAGCCCCACGGGCGGAGTCTAAACAACAGCGGGCAGCCGGCAAATTGGGCGTTCCCCGCTGGTTAAACGTTAAAATTAACCTCGCCGCGCGGGGCGCGCGAGGTAGCGAGCGGAGATGTTCTCACGTGCGTTTTATCTTGGTCGCTGCTCCCCGTGTGGCGGAGAGGGAAAATAATTGCGCCCCGGGCGGGAGGCCGGCAGGGAG